CTCGATCTCATGACCTTGTGATCCACCCGCCTCGGCCTCCCAAAGTGCTGGGATTACAGGCTTGAGCCACCGCGCCCGGCTGTTTTTTTTTTTTTTGAGATGGAGTCTTGATCTGTCTCCAGGGTGGAGTGCAGTGGTGCAATCTCGGCTCACTGCAACCTCTACCTTCCAGGTTCAAGTGAGTCTCCTGCCTCAGCCTCCCAAGTAGCTGGGACTACAAGTATGCAACACCATGCCCAGCTAATCTTTGTATTTTTAGTAGAGACAGGGTTTCACCCATGTTGGCCAGAATCACAGGCTCTGAGGGGGTTGCAGGGAAGGCTTTCCTGCAAACTGGAAGGTAGGTCTTGGGATACCTGAGTCCCTGGGTTTAATGCCCATGCCTACCTCTGGGGTGTCTTGGCCCGGGAAGGCTACCTGGCTACTCACCCACCCACAACTGGGTCCTGGGCTGTGCTGGACCCTGGGTTCCAGCCTAAGCCCCTCCCACCTCCATCCCCCTTCCGGAGTACCCCCCCCAACCTCCACAACAGGCCAAGTATACTCTGGACTCTGGAGACCTTGGGCAGCTCAGCTCAACCTGCCGCTCAGCAGGGGTGGCAAGAGCACACCTGAGCTGAGGCTGAAGGTGGGGGTAGTTTTCTAGGCCGTTTCCAGGGCGATGCCACCTGAGCTGGGCGCCAGGCACCTGTTGTCCGGGGAACAGTGCGGGCGGGGCCTTTCCCCCGGGACCTAGCAGGGCCAGTGGGCTGAGACGGAGGATGGATCAGATTCCAGAGAGTCCCAGGTAGGCGGGGGTGGGCGATACTGGGGAGCTGGGGCATGTTTGCATCACGAAACTGGGCCGGGGGAGAGCAGAGTCGGCCGGGGAGGGCTGTGGGAGAATAAGGCTCAGGAAGGCAGGTCGAAGCTCCTGCATGCGTTTCTGCCCTGAGCCTGTTACTTTTTTGACCCCCGCTCCCTTTCTTTTTCTTTAGCTGGTCCTCCATCTTCCCCTCCTTTGCCCTTGGTTCCCACATGCATGGATGCTATGCATGCTCTTCCTCCCCTATCCACTCTCAGCCGCAGCGTCCCCTGCTGACCCCAAGGCCACTCATCCACCCGCTGCCTACCAGCCCCTATCCCCGCACCCTCCCTGTGGCTCAGGTCTCCCTTGTGGCGGCCTCCCTGCACTTCACTCTGCTCCTCCCCTGCCTGGGCCTTAAAACCCCGCCTGCAGCTGAGAGCCGGCAGAGTCCCCAGGTGGCACCGTCAGAGGCTGAATCGCTCAGTGGAAATCTGCGCCAGCCCAGAGGGGACGAGGCTGTCTTCAGCGTGGCGGTGCATCTGGAGGGCCCTTGTGAACTCAGCCCAGGCGTGACTGCAGAGTGGTAAGAGCAGCAGCACTCTCAGGGCATCTAATGGACAGCCGCCCCTCGAGGTGACACCCACCACTCAGCTGAGCGGGGCCCAGAGTCTGCTTTGTGCTCTGCAAGGATCAGAGACACCTGCAAGAGGCACAGAGAGACGCCATTCAAGAGGCTCCTGAAACTGAGGACTGGCCTGGCTTCCCCTTTCTTCTGGGCACGAAGACCCCCACCCAGCACACCTGACACACCCGCTGAGTCACCCAGGCCGTCTGGGGCTGAGAAGACCTAATCAAGGGGCCAGATGGCTTCTGCTGGCTTAGAACTGTTGGGCATGACCCTGGCTGTGCTGGGCTGGCTGGGAACGCTGGTGTCCTGCGCCCTGCCCCTGTGGAAGGTGACTGCCTTTATCGGCAACAGCATCGTGGTGGCCCAGGTGGTGTGGGAGGGGCTGTGGATGTCCTGCGTGGTGCAGAGCACAGGCCAGATGCAGTGCAAAGTGTACGACTCGCTGCTGGCGCTGCCGCAGGACCTGCAGGCCGCTCGAGCCCTCTGTGTCGTGGCCCTCCTGCTGGCCCTGCTTGGCCTCCTGGTGGCCATCACAGGTGCCCAATGTACCACCTGTGTGGAGGACGAAGGCGCCAAGGCCCGCATCGTGCTCACCGGGGGGGTCATCCTTCTCCTCGCTGGCATCCTGGTGCTCATCCCCGTGTGCTGGACGGCGCACGCCATCATCCAGGACTTCTACAACCCCTTGGTGGCTGAGGCCCTCAAGCGGGAGCTGGGGGCCTCCCTCTACCTGGGCTGGGCTGCGGCCGCACTGCTTATGCTGGGTGGGGGGCTCCTCTGCTGCACGTGCCCCCCGCCCCAGGTCGAGCGGCCCCAGGGACCTAGGCTGGGCTACTCCATCCCCTCCCGCTCAGGTGCGTCCGGACTGGACAAGAGGGACTACGTGTGAGGCGGAGGGCTCCCCCTCAGAGCCTGCTGCTCCCCACTGCCCTGCACCTTCGACCTTGACCAAAGGCCCTGCTCCACTACAAGCCCCTCCCCTAGGAAAACCCACTTTCCAAAAGCCCAAGCTATGCCTGGCTGCAGGGCTGGGTCTGCTGGCCCGGCTGGGCTCTTCTCAGTGGGGCTCTCTTTGATGCTCTCCCCCGAGCTGGGCAGCCCAGAGGTGTTGAGCACCCTGGCCTGCCCCCACCTCCCCAGTAATTGTTTATTTCCATTGCCCAGGACACTGGCTGGCCTTCCTTCTCTTCTGAGCCCGCCCCTGCCCAAGGAACCCTGGCTTCACCAAAAAGGCAGCAGCTCATTGGCTCCAAAACCAAGCAGCTGACTGTACCCTCCCAACCCTGGAGTTGGCATGGAGAGTCTGCCCATCACCTCCCCCTCCTTGACATCGCCACCCAAGATTGGGAATAAAGAGAACATTTGTAACTGGGCTCCCTCTGATCTGTTCACCACCACTGGGGCTGGGCAGGGACAGCCAGGTGGCCTCCCTTGGTGGCTGTCAGGCCAAGGTCTGACTCCAGGTTCGGCCTGGGTTTGTTCACTCAAACCATGGGCAGAGGGCAGAGGGGATCGTGACTCACTTATGTCCACCTCTTCTCCTAGCTAGGCTGGGCACTCAGTAACCCCCTGCAACACGGAACACACCAACAAAACATGCTTTATTTGGTAAAAACATGAGTGTAAGCAGGGCAGGATGGGCAGGGCAGAAGGGTACAGTATTGGAGGTGGGAGTGGGGGGTCTACACATCTGGGATCTTTGGAGGTGTGGATGTCCTATCAGGACAGAGAAGGTCCAAAGTTCTGGAGGAGGGTAGTCCTTTGTTAACGGATCACTTGCTTTCCCAGGGGTGAAGAGTGGGGCTCCAGAGGCCTGAGTAGGATGGAGGGGTGGCTGTCCTGATAAGTCTAGGGAAGCCCAGCTCCCAGCAGCAGCAGGAACTCTTGGGGACAGTCTGTCTTGTCCCAAAGGCCAGCATAGCAAGCAGCCTCCACATTAGTTCCACAGCTCAACTGGCTTCTAAGACGGGCATCTCTAGGGTGGAGAAAGATCCAGAATCTCAAAGCATCCCCTCTTTGGTTCAATCATCCCAAGGTGAGAAACAGCAGAGCCCAGGTGGGAGTCTGAGTCACCTTCTTGGTTGTCTTCAATGGATTTTAAATACCCTCAGTCAAAAGGACAGCAGTAGGAAGCAGAAACAAAAGATCCCAAAGCTATTGGGCGCTACCACCTCTGGATGGCTCTAGCACTGGCGGAGCCCCCATTCCCTTCCACGTCAGACGTAATTCTTGGTAGGGTACTCAGAGGGCCCCCGAGAGACGGCAGGGGCCGATGGCGAGTAGTGGGCCATGTAATGGCTGGGGCCCCGGGCCCTCCCCGAGGGGCAAGTGCAGCACAGCAACCCCCCACCCAGCAACAAAAGGGCCGAGGCTGCCCAGCCCAGGTAGAGGGAGGCCCCCAGCTCCCGCTTTTGGGCCTCAGCTACCAGGGGGTTGTAGAAGTCCCGGATGATGGCATGCGCTGTCCAGCACACGGGGATTAGCGTCAGGATCCCTGAGATGACAAAGACAATCCCAGAGACGAGCACCAGGCGGGCCTTGGAATCCTTGTCCTCCACACAGGTGGTACACTTGGCCCCAGCAAGGTAGACCAGCAAGCCGAACAGGACCACAAGGAGGGCGATGACACAGAGGGCTCGAGCGGCCTGCAGGTCCTGCGGCAGCGCCAGCAGCGAGTCGTACACTTTGCACTGCATCTGGCCTGTGCTCTGCACCACGCAGGACATCCACAGCCCCTCCCACACCACCTGGGCCACCACGATGCTGTTGCCGATGAAGGCGGTCACCTTCCACATAGGCAGGGCGCAGGACACCAGGCCATTCACCCAGCCCAGCATTGTCAGGATGACTCCCAGGATCTGCATTCCGGCAGAGGCCATGGTGAGGGTGAAGGAGCTGCACTGTAGTGGGGACAGAAGCACAGCAAGGTGAGGCCTGGCGGGCCCAGACCTCAGGCCACGTGTGGACAGGACACCAGGGGCATGTGCCCTGGAAAGTGGTCATCATATCCCGTACTGCAGTGGAGACACGCTCCCTGAGCCTCACTTCTCATGGGCAAAATGAGCACATAATGCTTTAGTATTTATTTATTTTTCTAGTTATGTGACAGGCACTGGCTCAAGACAGCGAATGTGCAAGCAGCCCTGCCCTGGCCGCTGTGAGTGCAAATGAAAGATGACAGGGTGAAACCTATGCAATGCCAGTCCAGGGCCAGAGCCTGGGATCGGGCCGCAAGGCGGCAAAAAAAAGGATGAGAAGACGATGCTATTTCCAGGCAGTTTCCATGTAGAATGGTTCGGTTCTGGCCCTGATTTTAAGGTGCAATATTTGTCCGTTTCTTTTTGTTTGAGATGGAGTCTTGCTCTGTGACCCAGGCTGGAGCGCAGTAGCTCAATCTTACCTCACCTCACTGCAACCTCTGCCTCCCTCCAGCCTCAGCCTCCCAAGTACCTGAGATTATGGATGCGCACCACCATGCCAGGCTCATTTTTGTATTTTTAGTAGGGTCGGGGTTTCAACAGGTTGACCAGGCTGGTCTCGAACTTCTGACCTCAGGTGATTAGACTGCCTTCACCTCTCAAAGTGCTGGGATTACAGGTGTGAGCCACCGTGCTCAACCAAAACTTGTTAGTTTTGACAATAAGATTGGAGATTCCGAGCATCCTCACACCACTCAATGTCCCTCACAACTTGATTCCACACTCCAGGCTAGCAGACACCAGCTGGATCTTGGGATCTTGTATCTCAGACCCCGCCTTCCCTCACCCTACAGGAGCCACCTGAGCCTGGAGATTAGCCAAGCTCCTCACATCTGGAGGCCCAGCCAAACCTGGGAGCGGCAGGAGAGTTGAAGAAAAAGATAATTAATCCCCCACCCAAAAGCAGTTCTTTCCCCAAAGCCACTCACTGGCTCTCTCGTACCACCCTTCTGACCTCACCTAAGAGCTGGAGCCTGTAGCCTCAAGGCTGAGGGCCTTTTCCTAATTCCTAAATGCGGTGCTAGACTCCCCTCCAGATCCTGCACCTGTGTCCGCTCATATCCCAGGCAGTGTTGGAGGCTGTCGAGGGGATCACCTCTGCCCAGCGCTTGGCTGTGGCCTCCCACTGCCCAGAGTTCTTACTTTCTGCAGCATGGAGCTAAACTTTTCCCTGCCTGCAGTGGCCGGAGGGCAGGCTCTCTACTCATTAGCCGGGGGCCCCAGGCCTGGGCGGAGCTGGCCACCTTGGGAAGACTGACCCGGGGAGGCCGCCGGGTCCAGGCACTAAGCCTCTGGCAGAGTTAGGGCCAGGGCCACGCTGGTCTAGGCGCCCCAGTCCTCTGCCCTCTGAGTGCGTCCCTGCCCCTTTCTTTTCCAGGCACTGCAGGCCCGACTCTGTTCGAGGGCTCCCCCGCCCACCCGCCCACCCCAGCCAGGGAGCTGCGCGCCCAGGAGGGGTTCGATAGCTGCAGTGGCCTCAAGGTCCGCTTCCGCAAGTGAGGGGGCAGGGGGCGAGGGGCGTCCCGCCCCGAGAGGCAAGGCAGGTGGGGGAGGGCGCCCGGGGTTTCGGTGTCTTTGTCCCTGGGGAAGGGGGAGGGGCGTTTAACCCTTGGGAGCCGCGGAAGGACCGGATCGCCGCGGAGGCTTGGGAGCAGACCGCCCCGACCCTTTCAGGGACTCGCTCATCCAGGTGACTGCAGCCGGAGTTCGAAGGCACCCCTACCCACGCCGCCACCGCCCTGCACCCGACCCCAAGAGGCGTGTCTCCAACACGCACACTTGCCCCGGACTCACCTGCGAAATGGATAAGAGAAATTCCTAAGCCGAGTGTCCGGAAAGCGGCGGAGGCGGGGGTCTTAAAGACGCGGTGACGTCACTGGACCACCGCCCCGGAGGAGGGGCAGAGACCCTGTCCCAGACGCGAGCGGGCGTGCGAATCCCAGCCTCGTCAGAGGAGGGCGCTGGAGGCTGGGGTCGCTGCGCCAGGCGGGCGGACGTCCAGACTCACCGAGGGTGACGGGCGCCGGGCTTAGGAGAGAACAGAGCTTGAGTCTCCACTGCACCGCTTACACAGCGCGGTGACATGGAGAACTCACCTAACCTTCCCGATCCTTCGTCTCCTACCTCGCAAAGTGGAGAGAACAAGTCTGCATTTTATTATGTAACTACTTCCTAAGGTACAAATTAAAGGGCATACTATTAGGATTATTTTAGAGAAAATAAATATTTTCACTGTGTCACTCAGGCTAGAGTGCAGTGGTGTGATCACAGCTCACTGCAGCCTCAACCTCCCGGGTTGACGCGATCCTCCGGCCTCAGCCTTTTGAGTAGCTGGGACTACAGGCGGCCCGCCCCAGCGCGCCTAGCTAATTTATGTTTTGTACAGACAGGATCTGGTTACATTGCCCAGGCTGGTCTCGAACTCGGGGGCATAATCGATCCGACCTCCTTGGCCTCGCACTGCGCTGGGATTACCGGCTTCAGCCACCGCGCCTGGCTAGAGCACATTATTTTTATGCCTTTTGTTTGATTTGAGACAGAGTCCTGCTCCGTTACCCAGTCTGGAGTGCAATGGCACAGTCTCCGCTCCCCACAACCTCAGTCTCCGGGATTCCAGCAGTTCTCCTGCCTCAGCCTCCCGAGTAGCTAGGATTACAGGCACCCAACACCAGGCACGGCTAAATTTTGGAATTTTAGTTGTGACAGGGTTTCACTCATCTTGGCCGGGTTGGTCTTGAACTCCTGACCTCCTGATCCACCTGCCTCCGCCTCCCAAAGTGCTGTGATTAGAGGCGTCAGCCACCGCGCCAGCCCTATTTTTATGTTGTTACTGTTACACCCCTCAGGCCCTTAAGAAAGCTGCAGTGCCCAGTCCAACCTGGGCAATATAGTGAGACCTCGGTGTCTACAAAAAATGAAAAAATGGCCAGGCGCAGTGGCTCACGCCTGTAATCCTAGCCCTTTGGGAGGCCCAGGCGGGCGGATCACCTGACATTGGGAGTTAGAGACCAGGCAGACCAACATGGAGAAATTCCGTCTCTACTACAAATACAAAATTAGCCTGGTAGTGCGTGCCTGTAATCCTAGCTACTCCGGAGGCTGAGGCAGGAAAATCGCTAGAACCGGGAGGCAAAGGTTGCGGTGAGCCGAGATCGTGCCATTGCTCTCCAGCCTAGGCAACGAGAGCAGAAACTCTGTTTCAAAAAAAAAAAAAAAAAAAAAATTAGCCGGGCGTGATGGTGCGTGCCTGTGGTCACAGCTAGTGGGGAGGCTGAGGTGGGAGACTCACCTGAGCCGAGAGAGCCGAGATTGCGCCACTGCACTCCAGATTGAGCAAGAGTGAGATGCAATCTCAAGAGGTGTGGAGTGGTGGGGTAGGAAGGAAGCTGCAGTGATCTGCAGGAATTGTTCGTGTCTGATTTTTTTTTTTTTTTGAGACCGAGTTTTGCTCTGTCGCTCAGGCTGGATGGAGTGCAGTGGAGCGATTTCGGCTTACTACAACCTCCGCCTCCCGGGTTCAAGCGATTCTTCCGACACAGCCTCCCAAGTAGTTGGGATTACAGGCGCGCGCCACCACGCCCGGCTAATTTTTGTGTTTTTAGTAGACATGGGGTTTCATTATGTTGGTCAGGCTGGTCTGGAACTCCTGACCTCGTGATCTTCCCGCCTCAGCCTCCCAAAGTGGTGGGATTACAGGCGTGAGCCACCGCGCCCAGCCTTTCTTGACTGATTTCTGTATGTGCTGCCGAAGGAAGCACTCGTGTCTGATTTCTGATTTCCCTACCCCACGCGCCCCGGACTAGACCACAGGCGGGGCAAAGGAGGGGTCTACGTGCCTGCCAGGTCCTGGCAGCTCCCGCGCCAGGACTTCGTTGAATGAATGAATGAACACAGCGGGCCCCTGGCGTGCTGGAGCGGACCTCACTGCGGGCGGAGGCGAAAGCTCCGCCCCGGAAGGCGGGGGCGGGGGCGGGGCAGCGGCCATGGGTCTTGCCGGCCGGCGGCGGGCGCAGACAGCCGCGGGCGCGGGACGTGCACCATGGCTCGGGGCTCGCTGCGCCCGTTGCTGCTGCTCCTCGTGCTGGGGCTCCGGCTGGCGTTGCTGCGCGCCGTGGCCGGAGAGTGGGCGCCAGGTACGCGGGGTGCGGGGATCGGGGAACCCTGGGCGGGGGCTCTGGAGCCGAGATTGGGTGCCCGGAGGACAGCGCGGAACTGGGGGAACAGGCGGATGTGGGGATCTGGGGTCAGGTGGGCTTCAGACAGCGCGCTTCCCACTGTGGGAGCTTCCATCACTTTCCAAGCTTCATTCACAATCCGGGCCTCAGTTTCTCCCACTGTCCAATTGGGGTTGGGTGGGGGAGGGATCTTCGGTTCCGAAAGTTTGAACTAGAAGTGGAGAGAGAAAGTAAGTTTTGAGGGCGGGATGTTTAGTCTAGGAAGCGGCACGCCCCCAGCCGGGTCTGTACGGGGTCTAACTAGCCCCAGTGACCGACGAGTTGGGGGGGCTGTCGAAAGGCACTAGGGTCTGTGCCCTCTATACCATGTGGGGTGCCCCCTTCCATCCGGTGACTTCAGTGCCCAGCTATGCGGGGGGAGGGACCGGGGTCGGGCCCGGTGCCCAGGAGTGAGTCACCCGCCGGCGGCAGGGGGGTTATGGGGACCTGACACCCCCACACCCAGCGTCCCGCGCTACGCCCTCCCTCCTGGAGCTGCCGTGTCCCGGTCGGGCCGTGCGGTCACCTGTGAGGAATGTGCGGGGAGGGCGCCAGTGACTCACGTTATTCGAGCCGGCCGACCCTGACCTCAGGCCCCAGAATAGCCGAGTCCCGCCCCCAGCCTCTGACCCTCGGCCCCCTCCCCAGACACCGCCCCCTGCTCCCGCGGCAGTTCCTGGAGCGCGGACCTGGACAAGTGCATGGACTGCGCGTCGTGCCGGGCGCGACCACACAGCGACTTCTGCCTAGGCTGTGAGTAGGGGGCGGGGCCAGTGGCGATCGGAACCCTGACTGGGAGAAAGGGTGGCTGGTGCGGAGAGGGGGGCTGAGGGCTTCGAATCTGGGAAATCAATCAGGGGAAGGTGGGAGTGGGGAGGGGTCTCAGGTCAGGGAGGGGGCCACGGCTGGGAGAAGGCTGAAGGCTCAGTCCTAGGGGGCTGGTCTGGAGAGGGGCGAGGTCTGACTCCAAGTCCGCCCCCAGGCGCTGCGGCACCTCCGACCCCCTTCCGGCTGCTTTGGCCCATCCTGGGGGGCGCTCTGAGCCTGACCTTCGTGCTGGGGCTGCTTTCTGGCTTCCTGGTCTGGAGACGATGCCGCAGGAGAGAGAAGTTCACCAGTAAGTGAGCCCCGGCCTCCCCAGCCGCTTCATCACTCGACCTTTCCCCTGCCCTTGACGACCCCACCTCTTATTTTGCAGCCCCCATAGAGGAGACTGGTGGAGATGGCTGCCCGGCCGTGGCCCTGATCCAGTGACAATGCGCCCCCTGCCAACCGGGGCTCGCCTACTCATCATTCATTCATCCATCTAGAGCCAGTCTCTGCCTCCCAGACGTGGCAGGAGCCACTCCAGCCACAGGGGGGTGGGGGGTGGTGAATCACCTCTGAGGCCTGGGCTCCTGCAGCGTTCAGGGGAGCCTTCCAAGGTGTCTGGTTGCCCTGCTTCTGGCCTCAGAACAGAAAGGGAGCCTTAAGCTGGCTCACACAAACAGCTGACACTGACTAAGGAACTGCAGCATTTGCACAAGGAGGTATCCACCTCCCTAGAGGCCCTGGGGGCTAGGCTGACTTGGGGGACAGACAGACACTAGGCCCCCCTCACTCAGATGTCCTGAAATTCCACCATAGGGGTCACCAGCCTGGGGGGTTAGGGACCTATTTTTAACACTAGGGGGCTGGCCCACTAGGAGGGCTGGCCCTAAGATACAGACCCCCCCCAACTCCCTAAAGAGGGGAGGAGATATTTATTTTGGGGAGAGTTCGGAGGGGAGGGAGAATTTATTAATAAAGGAATCTTTAACTTTAAATGGTTTGGAGAGGCAGTGATCCCCAACTGACTCCCCTGAGCTGAAGGGAGGGAGTGAGTCAGCCAGCCACGGGGGCGGGGGTGAGGCTCTGACTCACACATTCTCAATGCCTGGAACTCAGCCGGCCAGGACCTGGCTGGCCCTAACAGTTTTCCAGGGAAGATCTTGAGAAGAAACCCCAGCATCCTGCGCCTCTGCCCTCTCCACCATCCCCAAAAGCCCCAGGTTCCACATGGAAGCCTTTCTTTGCTCAGCAATCTTTATTCAGTTTTTCTTGGGGGTGGGATGCCTCCCTTCCCATGCTCCCACCCCTCTCGTCCCAGAGCTTCATTGGGCTCAGTGTCCTCTGTTGAGGGAAGGTCTTGGTGCCCAGATGCCTGGTCTGGAGGAGAGGGAGGCTCCTTGTCTCTTTGCGGGAGTCGCTGGTCTCTTCTGTTGTGGGGAAGAAGGAAGGTGGGAGGGGCGCTGTCCACTAGCACTCAGAGCTCCATTATGTCCCCAGCTGGGGTCGCAGGGTATGAGGGACTGGGGGTGTCCCCCAGCCTCAGCAGCCGGAGGGCTTCAGGGATGAGGCTGCCAGGGTATCGCCAGAGAAGCAGCTCAGAGCAAGAGCTCCTAGAAGAGGAAATGATAGTCGGCATGGGAGCTGAGGCTGGCCTAGCTGAGCACCTCCCACCAGGTCCAGGTCCCCAGGGGCTCCTGGGTTCTCAGCACTTTTCAAAGAGCCAAGATGGGAAACAACCCAGAGGTCAGCTAGAGCTAAATATGGCACGATGAGGCAGGGCCTGAGGTCAGCACGGAGGACTGCCTGTGATCCTGCAGAAGGCCTGGCCAGTGGAGGAGCCTACCTGAGTGGGGGCAGGGCCGGGGGGAAGGCCATAGGGGGGCTGCAGTAGGGGTGGTCATTGTGCAGGCTGAGTTGAGAGAAATGGGTGGCCATGTTCTCCTCAGACAGAAACTGCTTGCGCAGAGGCTCCCTGGGGAGAGATGAGAGAGGGAGGCTGGGATACTGAGGCAGGTGGCAGTGTGTTGGGGACCAGAGGTGACAGAGATCTTGTTGGGAGTCCCTCCCTGCCCCCAAACTCACTGCTCCTCCTCCAGGCGCCGCTTGGTGCTCAGGGGCACAGCTCCTCGGAGAGGGGAGCTGGGAAAAAAAGACAGCCTGGTGCACCCCACCCTCTTGGCCCCTTCCCAAGGATCTGCCCGCCTGAGTCTGCAGCATCAGCCAGGAGCCCCAAGCCCATTCCTGTCTCAGGTGGTGCCTGTCCCCTCTCTCCTGGGCCATCCAGCAGCGTACCTCGAAGTCTCGACCCTGAGCCGAAGACCCAATCCGGTCTCAGCTCACACCTAAGCCCCGCCGATTCGCCCAACACCGTGTCCATCCTGCAGACCAGCTCTGAGCACCCAGCCAAAGCTCCTAAGGCCCTTGGTCAGGCCCACCCTGGTCCCCTACACGCACCTGGCGTCCAGGCCACGAGTCACCCCCAAGGCGGCCCGCGGGAGGCGCTGGGCCCCACCCTGGGGGCCTCGCTCCAAGGGCTGCTGCAGAATCATTGGGTTTTGGGGTCCTGCGGGTGGGATCTGGGCGACGGAGGCGGAGTCTCTGAGGGCGTGGCCCAACGCGAAGGGGTGTGGCTTTAGGCGTGCGCAGCGGCGAGGTTCTGCGCGGGCGCGGCAGACGGGTGGCGCGTGGCGGAAGGCGGGCCTGTTCCCCGGGGTGGGGGAAGGGATCTAGTTAGCGGAACGGCGGTGGGCGCCACTTCTTAGTGTCGGAGTTTTTCGTGGCGCTCACCTCGGCTCCTGGGGTTCAGTACAGTACGCAGCAGCCACCTTCGCGCCGAACGCGGCAGAGCGCCGCGAGGAGGAACCGCTGTAGGCACGTACGTCTTCGTGAGGTTGCGTCGCGCGCGGAGCACTCTGGGACTTGTAGTTCTGGAGATGGAGCGAGCTCTGCCGCTCGTGGTGCCTCTGGGTCAGGTGAGACGGAAGTGGTGCGCGATGCCTTCTGGGGTTTGTAGTCCATGCATAACTTGGACTGGGCGGGCAGGGAATCGTGCCTGGAGCCTTGTTTTGCTCGGGCTGTTTGTGGGACTCAGACTATGACCCGGGGTGCGGGGCGGGGGGCGGGAAAGTAATCAATAAGGCCTCAGGGGCTTAACGCAAGTCAGAGAATAGGGATTACAAGTCGGTACATTTTTCTATTTTGGGATAGTAGAGCCACTTTTTATTTTTTTAAATTTCCTAGCTAGTTCTCGCAAGCAGAGCCACTTTTTTTTTTTTTTTTTTTTTTTTTTTTTTTTTTTTTTTTTTTTTTTTTTTTTTTTTTTTTTTTTTAAAGATGGGGTTTCACCATGATGGCCAGACCGGTCTTGAACTCCTGACCTCAGGTGATCCACCCACCTTGGCCTCCCAAGGTGCTAGGATTACAGGCGTGAGCCACGGCGCCCGGCGGAGCCGAGCCAGTTTTTAAACACTTTTTTTTTTGAGATGGAGTCTCTGTCGCCCAGGCTGGGGTGCAATGGCACAATCTCGGCACACTGCAACCTCTGCCTCCCGGGTTCAAGCGATTCTCCTGCCTCAGCCTACTGAGTAGCTGGACTACAGGCATGTCCCACGACGGCCAGCTAATTTTTGCGTTTTTAGTAGAGACAGGATTTCAGCACGTTGGCCAGGCGGGTCTGAAACTCCTGACCTCAGGTAATCTGCCCGTCTTGGCCTCCCAAAGTGCTGGGATTACAGGTGTGAGCCACGGTGCCTGGCCAAATTTTTTAATTTTTTTGTAGAGATGGAGTCTCACCACCTTTCCCAGGCTGCTCTCGAACTCCTGGCGTCAAGCGATCCTCCCGCCTCAGCCTCTCAGATCGCTGGGATTGCAGGCTTGAGCCATAGCACCTGGCTTAAGCACTGAGTGACAGCCCTGTGCAAAGCTCTGTCTATACACTAGCTCATCTAATCGTGACAGAATCTTCTGTGAGCTCCATTTGACAGTTGAGGAAGCTGGTAGGAGAGGCTTGGGTGCTTGCTCAGAGGTTCATGAAGCATCAGACCTCAACCCTCCCCTTCCTCAGTGTCTTCTTGGAGCCACCCATGGGAATGCATGGTCAGGTGCTGGCTGCTGCAAAAGAGGTCTGAGAAGTCAGGACAGTGGGAGGCCTGGCAAGTGTCAGGGGAAGCAGAGAGGAGTCTGTGGATGGGAGGTTTCAGATGTCCCAGGCAGGCCTCATCCAGTCTTTCCTTGCAGGCAGAGGTGTTTCAGGCCTTGCAGCGGCTCCATATGACCATCTTCTCCCAAAGCGTTTCACCATGTGGGAAGTTTCTGGCGGCTGGCAACAATTATGGGCAGATCGCCATCTTTAGGTACCCTCTGCTGCTGTCCACCCATTAGTCCTGGCACCCTGGCATTTGGTCTTCATGGGACGGATGCCTTCTGTTTCTGACTCCTGGGTCCCCTCCATTGTCCCCTGCAGCTTGTCTGCTGCTTTGAGCTCGGAAGCCAAAGAGGAAAGTAAGAAGCCAGTGGTGACTTTCCAAGGTGGGTCTAGCCGTGGAGTCTGGCTTCGGGGGTTTGGGTGGGATTGGCTCACTTACTTCTGGATTTCTCTTTAGCCCATGATGGGCCGGTCTACAGCATGGTCTCCACCGATCGACATCTGCTCAGTGCTGGGGATGGGGAGGTGAAGGCCTGGCTTTGGGCGGAGATGCTCAAGAAGGTAAGGAGTCAAGCTGGGGAAAGGGCTGGGGTGCCCAGACCCAAAAAGGGCCTTTGAGGTCACCTCACGTTTTTCTTTTTGAAGGGCTGTAAGGAGCTGTGGTGTCGTCAGCCTCCATACAGGTGAGCCAGGGTCACGTGGATAGAGGGCGCATGGGGGTGAAGGCACTCCCTCACTGACCCTGACTTTCCTGCCCCAGGACCAGCCTGGAAGTGCCTGAGATCAATGCTTTGCTGCTGGTCCCCAAGGTCTGAGCCCCATGTGACTATTCTTGACCCAAACTTTGATCCTTCACTCTCTGCCTTTCCTGATTGGACACTGACTTCCTGCCTCACCCTGCCCCTTCACAGGAGAATTCCCTCATCCTGGCTGGGGGAGACTGTCAGTTGCATACTATGGACCTTGAAACCGGGACCTTCACGGTGAGCAGGGGCTTGGAGCCGTAGAGCAGGTCCAGGCCAGGGAGAGGCACTCTTCCTAGATCTCCTGACATCGCCCCTCTACCTGCAGCGGGTCCTTCGGGGCCACACAGACTACATCCATTGCCTGGCATTGAGGGAAAGGAGCCCGGAGGTGCTGTCAGGTGGCGAGGATGGAGCTGTTCGACTTTGGGGTAAGGAGGTGGCTAGTTGGAGGGCAACATGGTAGTGAGGGAGGCTGAGGCTTGTGGGGCACTACTCAGGGTGGGTTCTTTCCCTGCAGACTTGCGCACAGCCAAGGAGGTCCAGACAATCGAGGTCTATAAGCACGAGGTGAGGGCGTGACCGTGGCCGTTGTCCTCTTTCCCAGCAACTCCTTTAACCCTCCAGGACTTCACCTCTTTCCCTCCTCCCCTTCCCCTCCCAGGAGTGCTCCAGGCCCCACAATGGGCGCTGGATCGGTTGTTTGGCAACTGATTCCGACTGGATGGTGAGCAGGGCAGACTGTGGGACAGGTTGGCAGCTTCGGGCCCTGTCAGCTGTGGGCCGTAGCTCACAGCTGGGGACTCCCACCTTTCTGTCCAGGTCTGTGGAGGGGGACCAGCCCTCACCCTCTGGCACCTCCGATCCTCCACACCCACCACCGTCTTCCCCATGCGGGCGCCACAGAAGCACGTCACCTTCTACCAGGACCTGGTGAGTCCCTCTGTCTCGTCTGCCACCCCCACTGGCTCTGCCCTCCAGCCCTGACCCCTGAGCACCTTCCTTGCCCTCTGCAGATTCTGTCTGCTGGCCAGGGCCGCTGTGTCAACCAGTGGCAGCTGAGCGGGGAGCTGAAGGCCCAGGTGCCTGGCTCCTCCCCAGGGCTGCTCAGCCTCAGCCTCAACCAGCAGCCAGCCGCGCCCGAGTGCAAGGTGGGTCCGGCAGGGGCCTCGGGCAGCTGGGAGGCGGGGGAATGGGCAGGCCAGTCATGCCCCTCTCTCCTCCAGGTCCTAACAGCTGCAGGCAACAGCTGCCGGGTGGATGTCTTCACCAACCTGGGCTACCGAGCCTTCTCCCTGTCCTTCTGACCTCTGACCACACCCCCAGCCAGCAAGGGTTTTAGAGTGGTTTTCTTTTTTTTTTTTTTTTAACAATAAAGTTTCAGGCTTTTCTTCCACGCTCGCTCTTTCCACGAATGGAGGCCAAATCGGTGGCGTGATTTATATATTACTCTCTCCGATCTTGATACATAAATACCCAGCCCCATCCCTGCCCTAGAAATACCCCATAAATCCCCGCCCTGGAAAAGACAGACCTATATTGATTCGGAAAATCGACAGCTCTGTTCACCTGCCCCTGCAACCCACCTGGAGCTCCTGCCCCACAAAGCTGGCTCCGCTCCCGATGAGCTCTTGCCCATCCTCCTGGGGCGGGGAGGGCATTAGCTCCTCTTGGAAGACAATCCTTGTCCTGTCGCTCCATTGGCCAGAAGAGGAAAGTGGGCCCCCAAGTGGGCAAGGGCAGCCCCCCGGGCCCCGCCGTCAGGTCCTTCGGAAGAGGTTGCTGAGAAAGCCGCCGGCGGGCCCCGGGCCCAGGCGCAGCGAGAAGCGGGGCGCGGCGCGGCGCGGGGTCGACGACGACGCGGCGGCGCTCAGCTCCTTCTGGCGCTGTGAGCGCAGCTGTTGCCCGATCACCACCTGCATGTCGTCCTGCGGGAGGCCGGGGTCGACTCAGCGCCGGTCCCGCCCCCTGCCCCGCCCCGCACGCAGGCCCCGCCCCTCACCTGCCAGGCCTCCAGCTCCTGCGTGAGCGCCACCTTCTGGCTGATGGCGCGCAGCAGCTCCCGGGACAGGGAGTCTCGCTCCAGAGAGACACGTTTGAGCTCCAGGGACAGCTCCAGGGCCCTAGCGTGGGAGAGGCGGACGACGCATCTGAGGGCGCTGGGACCTCAGGGAGCCAGGGTGACGGGGGACTTCTGGACCCGGGCGGGAGGGGGACTGCCAACACCGAGATCAAGGAGGGCCGTGGGCCCCTGGGTGGGGGTGGGGATAATGATAACCAGTATCAGAAGGAGAATCAGGAGCTCAGAGAGGTCCCGGGGGCGCTGAGGTGGTGGTGGATGACTTGAGGCTCACTTGTTCACGGCCTCGTCCCGGTCTGAGAGGGCCCTGTTCAGGGCTTCCCCAGGGTCGTCATGCGCCCGCAGCTCCTTCTGCCTCTGCTGCTCTTCCCGCAGGGCCTGCAGCTCTGCCTGCTGCAGCGCGATCTGTGGGCAGAGGAGGGGCCGCGCGGCAGATGGGCCAATGGGCCTTCCAGTCCCTGCTCCTCCCAGCAGCCCCGACTCTGGCTCTCCCCAGCTATCCTCTGCCTGCTCGACAGACACCCCAGGCAGCTGTGGCCCTGTGCTGGAGACTCCTCGATGAGCCCTCTGAGCCCCTCAGGCTGGTGCGGGGTGGGGTGGAGCAGGGTTAGTTGGGGTGCCATAACCCTCCAGGAGGAATGCTGGGAGAAGCACTAAGGAACTAAGGGGAGAGGTGCTGTCGGGAAGTCTTCCTGGAGGAGGTGGCATACAGGCTAGCTCTTGAAGTAAGTCTGTTGGGATGAAGGCCAATTCAGGTGTGGGAAGTAGAAAAGTTCTTTTTTAAAGTTTCCTTTCTTGTTAAAGAATAAGTGTGCTAATTCTTTGTTAAGCTCTATCCTATGCAGCTGTTAAACATGCCATGCTTACAGGCACATAGTACGTTCTGTGTCCTTGTACTTTAACCAGGATATCTGTGCTGGACGTGCTCACAGGCATGTCCCAGCTCTCCATTGCTTTTACCTGTTTAGAAAAATTTTAAGTTGTCGGCCAATCGGGTTTTACTTTGTGAGGTCTGGCTCCAGCCAACGGAGATCAGACAAAGCAGTAGGGACGACCCCAAATGCATAAGGAATATATTTGTGTGTCTTCTTTGTTCATTGTACTTTTCTGGCACGATGACTGCAGGGTACTCTTCCTGCAGTCCAGGAAGTAAGAATTGCTGTGCTGAAAGATTCTGTCTCAGTGCTAATTTTTCTTTGCCGCCCGGAGCATCTATTTCCAACACAGGTGTAGGGAGCTCCGTGGGCAAAGGCTGGGAGGCGACATGGGAGACAGAAACTGACAGCTGGAGGGGTCCTGCAACCAGCAACGTGCCCTCCTCTTCCCCACCTCATCTTGCAGCTTGGCCACTTCCGCCTCCTGCTCCTCTAGTATCTCCGCTGGGCTGAGGGATGCTCGCTTCTTGGGGGGCTCTAAGCTCTCCTCTGGGGGTGAAGGCTGGGGCCTGGACGCCTCTAGGGTCTTTGGGGACCGGGTGGTCTGTGGGCCAAAGAAATGGGTTAGTGGCGTGGAGTCTGTTGCGGAAAGGAGGAAAGGCGGCGCCTGCGACCCTCCCGATGGCACAGGTAACAGGATTGGTGCCCTATGAGCTCACCGGGGCGTCTCCGCGTGCGTCAGCGCCCTGGCCCTGGCCGTCCTCGTCGAGGCTGTGTGCCAGCTCCGACTGCAGCGAGGCGCTCGACAGGTCGGCGTCTTGGAGTCGTGACTCCTCCTCCAGCTCCGAGACTCTCCGCTGCAGCCTCCGCAGCGCGCTCAGCGCCTCCCCGGCCTCGGAGCGTGCGCGTTCCAGCTGTGGACGGTCCCGCAGACGGAAGTGCGGGCGGTCAGCGGGACCACCCAGCACCCGCATCCCGCGGCAGGTCCACGCTGGGGGACCGCAGAGGGCCCCGCACCCCAGCGGCCCAGGTTGTTCCCATTCTTGGATCGCTGGGCAACTTCAGCCGTACCTTCCCTCAGCTGAGATACCAATTTCCTCGCCTATAAAGTGGGGCCCACCTCGAAAAGCCCTCTCCCCTCCCCTGCCCAGTCTACCTCCTCACTCACTAATTGCTTTCACGCGGCATTTAGCAGTGCGACTGAGGCTGTTTGCCCCACAGTAGTAAGAGGAAGCACTGGGATGCGAAGGCAGACAAGCCGACCCCAAAGTGCAGAGTCCTGAGACCTCTAACATCAGACCATGCGTCCTCTTTTCATTCCTTTTTCTGTCTAGGGGCTGTCATTCCTGGCCTGAGCTCTGGCATCAGCCCCGTCCCTGGCCCTTCCAGCTGCCAGGCCCTGATGCATTCTAAGAGCATGCCTCCCCTGCTCAACGGCCTTCCGTGGCTCCCACTTGCCTACAGGCTAATGCCCATGGTCTTGTGGGCCAGCCTCTGGGCCTCCCAGTGACCCAGCTCTGGCTTCATCTCCCAGAAAGTGCTGAAGCCACTGCCAAGGGTCCAGGCAGTCATAGTCCCCCAGCCCTGCAGCTCACCTCCAAGCTGTGCTCCCGCCGCTCCCGCTTCAGCAGCAACAACTCCTCGTGGGTGGTCTGCAGGCGGCCCTGGCCCTTCTCCACCTCCTCACGCAGGCCTCGGATCTGGGCCTCCAGGTCCTGCCGGCGGCTCTGCAGCATCTGGTTCTGGGGAAACACCTGAGAGCTGGGGAGGGGGCCGCCCCCTCCCAGCCCCCAACCCAGCTTTTTCATCTCAGGCAATCCCCGAGCCCCAGTTGGCACTCACCTCCCCTTGCAGACTCTCCAGCCGCGTCCTCAGCTCTGCCCCAGCCAGTGCCTGAGCCTGGCACTGTCCCCGAAGGGTGTCCAGTTCCCTCTGAAGCTCCTGCTCAGTCTGGGAGGCCTGGCGAGGTAGACAGGGGGACGGACAGAGGAGCCTCAGCACCAAGCCCAACGCACCCAATCCCCACTGGGGACCCAGGCGTCCTCCCCAACCTTGCCCAGGTCCCTGGGGTCAGGGCTGTCCCACCTGGGCCAGCTGCTGGCTGAGGCGGAGGTTCTGCTCGCTGAGCTCACCGAGGGCCCTCGCCCGTTCTCGCCCACTGTCCTGCTGTTCTGAGCGCTGCTCCCCCAGCTGTGCCCGCAGGGCCTCCACGTCTCCCTCCAGCTCCACGGCCCTGGCCTCCCACTCAGCTCCCTGGGCTGCCAGCCCTCGACGGAGCTCATGGTTCTCTTGCTGGAGCCGCTGTGGGGGCCACGACAGAGGGACAGAGACAGAGTGGCACCGATGAGACTGGACAGGCACAGAGAGATGGGATGGAGAGACAGACACCTAGGGAGAACACCTAAGGGGGCCTTGTGTCCAAGACAGACACAAAAGCAAGGGAGAGTGCAGGAGGAACAGTGAGCAAGACCCAGAAACCCAGAGGCAATGTTCCAGGCAGATGGGACTTACGGGCCCCCGTGCAAGGGTGGGGGTGGGGCTCTCTGATGCCCACTCACCTCCAGCTGCTGCCTGGGCTTCTGGACCCGAGGTCGCAAGCGCCGTTTTTGGCGCCTCAGTCTGGCAGAATTCAAGCCCCGGCCCATGGTGGCACACACCTGCTGTGGCCCACGGGCTCTGGAGCCCAGACTCTGCCCAGCCCCCTCCCTAGCTCCTCCTGGCCAGTTCCCTCTAATTAACCCTGGTCAGCCCCGCCCTGGTCCAAAACCTGTCTGACCAGCGGAGGGATGCCCTGGCACACCCAGATGCCCAGCGTGGGGAAGCAGATGAGTTGGGGATTAACCTCTGGCCCACCCTCTTCCGCCCTCAAAGCGGGCTGCGCCTACATGAAGGTGTCAATTTCTCCAGCAGCTGCAGGGACTCAGGTACCCTGCACCAGGGCTTTATCTGCATTGCTCCATTTCATCCACTAGAGGGAGAATCACTAACGTCCTGGGTTTACAGATAAAATTGAAGCTCAAAGAGATGCTGAGTGCCTTGGCTAAGGACACACAATCATTTATTTTTGTTTTATTTATTTGTTTTTTTTGAGACAGGTCCTCACTCTTTTGTCCAGGCTGGAGTGCAGTGGCATGATCTCGGCTCCCTGAAATGTCTGTCTCCTGGGTTCAAGACATTCTCCTGCCTCAGCCTCCCAAGTAGCTGAGATTTCTGGCATGGTGCGCTACCCCGCCTGGCAAATTTTTTTGTTTTCTTAGTAGAGACGGAGTTTTACCATGTTGGCCAGGCTGGTCTTGAACTCCTGGTCTCAAGTGACCCACCCTCCTTGGCCTCCCAAAGTGCTGGGATTACAGGTGTGAGACACCGTGCCCAGCCAACACACAGTAATTTCGTGAAGCAGAGATGCCAACTCAGGCAGCAAAACTCTTCAACCGAATACTGTGGGGGCAGTAGGATTAAGCTGTCAGGTTCAAGGTCAGATTGTTCTGGCGGATGCTTGGCTCTGCTGATGCCTTGTGGCCTGCACATAATATCTCTTAAGTCCATCCACCCACACTACTATCGATCCTACAATATTTCCTGAGCTCCACTTGTTCTGGGGTTCACTGTCAGCAAGTTCACTGCTTCAAGCAGCTCAGAGTCCAGAGAGTATGGACACATGCTAGAGTCAGGTAATTTCAGGGGACATTAAGGGTTGTAAAGAGACCTGGGAAGTGATGAAGAGTAAGGAGTGGGGTGGAGGTGGAGGGTCCTTCAAGGAGGATGTTGTGTTTGAGTTGACTTCTGCAGGACAAGAAGGAGCCACCAGAAAGAGGGCCAAGCATTAAGGAACAGCAGGTGCAAAGCCCAGAGGGAACAAGCGTGAGCTCTTGGAGGAACTGAAAAGAGCCCTTGCTGTGGGGGAGAGGGTGGTGCAGCTGCCCTTCTTGGAGGAGGGGAAGAAGGAATGCTTCTGTGATGAGGTGAGAGAGGAGCCCAGCTCTTGGGGACTTTAAGGCCCTGGGGAAGAATTTCCGTTTCATTCTAAGAGTGAGGGGGAGATTCTGGGTGAGGAGTGAAAGGATCTGATTTGCAGTTTTTGAAGATCCTGGGGTGTCTCTTAGAGCATGGGCTTCAGGGGTCAAGAGTGGAAGCTGGGAGTTGGGCATAGTGGCTCATACCTATAATCCCAGTACTTTAGGAGGTCAAGGCAGGTGGGTCATCTGAGGTCAGGAGTTCGAGACCAGCCTGGCCAGCATGATGAAACCCCATCTCTACTAAAAATACAAAAATTAGCCAAGTGTGGTGGCACATGCCTGTAATCCCAGCTACTAAGGAGGCTGAGGTGAGAGAATTGCCTGAACCCCCTGAAGTGGGGGTTGCAGTGAGCCGAGATCACACCACTGCACTCTAGCCTGGGTGACCGAGTGAAACTCCATCTAAAAAATAATTTAAAGAGAGAGAGGAGAGAGAGAGAGAGAGAGGCCAGGTGCAGTTGCTCATGCCTGTAATCCCAGCCGAGGGAGGCCAAGGTGGGCAGATCTCGAGATCAGGAGTTTGAGAACAGCCTGACCAACATGGTGAAACACTTTCTCTACTAAAAATATAAAAAATTAGCTGAGCGTGGTGGCGGGCGCCTATAATTCCAGCTACTCAGGAAGCTGAGGCAGGAGAATCACTTGAACCCAGGAGGTGGAGGTTGTGGTGAGCCAAGATGGTGCCACTGCACTCCAGCCTGGGCAACAGAGCGGAACTCCATCTCAAAGAAAAAAAAGAGTGGATGCTGGGGACTTGGGAGCAGGTGGCTGGAGTGTCTGGGGCAGAGGTGATGGAGTCTGTGATCAGCTTGAAGGCTGCACAGCTGACAAGTGGGTGGTTCAAATTTAGTTTAGAAGAATCAAAACGGCTTGTGGATATAGGGGGAATGTGTGCACTCAACAAAGGTTGGCTGAGCACATTATCTCACACCTATAATCTCAACACTTTGGGAGGCTGAGGCAGGGAGTTTGCTTGAGCCCACAAGTCATGCCTTCAGTCATAACTTTTTCCGCAAAGTTTTTGCAGCAAAGAGCAGATAACAGGAGAATGTAGCAGAGTTTATCTAAATAGCTTGTTTACCTATTCTCCCCCCTTCCCAAACCAACCTTTGATCATCCATGCGCATGACTGCTCTCTACTGGGGGAGGGGGGGTCAGCAATGTTAATTACCCACAAGTGGTGTTTGCTCAAGACTTTTGTCATTAACTCTGTTCTAAAATAAATTCAAGTGTGTCTGGTATATTAGGGCTGCATGGACGAACTCCTTCTTCAGGGTCTGTAAGCTCTGGGGTCCCCTAGCTGTGCTCTCACAGAAAAAACACCTGTGTCTGTGTACTTCTGTCATCTGTCACTTGGCCGGAGTCTGCGGGTCAAACTTGGCAATTTAGCCACTTGAAAACTTTGCTGTGCATTCATGAGAGAATGACAGTAAAAAATGTAAATGTCTTGGGCAACATGGTGAGACCCCATCTGTACAAAAAATACAAAAACCAGCCAGGTATGGTGGTGCACATGTGCCTGCAGTCCCAGCTACTTAGAAGGCTGAGATGGGAGGATTGCTTGAGCTTGTGAGATTGAGGTTGCAGTGAGCTATGATTCCACCTCTGCACTGCAGCCTGAGTGACAGAGGGAGACCCTGTTAAAAAAAAAAAGAGAGAGAGAGAGAGAGAGAGAGGCCAAGGAGGTGCACAGGCCCTGGTTCTCAGGTGGGAAGGTGGGGATGGGGACAGCAGGTGATGGGGGTGTAGAATCGAGTGCCACTTGTGTTGAGATGCCCACTAGGTGGCCTGGTGGAGACAGTTAGCTACCCAAGTCAGGTTCAGGGCAGTGGTTGGGGCTGATGCCTCAGATAAAGGAGGGTGTTCAGAAGACCAGGTGTGAGCCCCAGAGGGAGAATTTGGCCAAAAATAGAACCTGGGCAGAGGGAACTGTTCCTACCTCATTGGGCTGGGCGAGAATCAACAGAGTCATGAAAAGCACTTAGCCCAGTGCCAGACAGGGAGTGGATACCCATGACTGTTGCCTGTTGTTCCGCTATACTGCTGAGGACCTGGACCCAAGATCCAGAGAGGGCCAGCAACTGACCCAGGGTCACACAGCCGGGCAAAGGTCTGAACCTAGGTCTTTCTTTTCCATTTTTTTTTTTTTTGAGACGG